TTAAAACTAATTATTACTTTTTTTCTAAAATTTTATACACATATTTATGCGAATGTTACCAATACTCAGTAAATTAACTTGTGAATTTGAATGATGATGGATATTTCTATATTTAATATAATATATTTATACTAGGATATTTTTTAGGCATTTTTCCTTTAATCTGAAACAGGGCTTATATTACCCTGATTTATTTCATAAAAAAAGAAAAAACCATTCAAAGAAAGGTTAATTAGGCAATTTTATAACAAAATTTCTCTCTGTTAGTAATCTCAGTAAATAAATTGAATCAAGATCAGAGAATTAGAAAACATTTTTAAATTGTTTACTGTTAAAAACAATTCTTTCATAATATTAGATAAAAGTGAAAATAAACGCTAAAGAAATGCAATTGTTTTGCACTACTAACTGTTACAAGTGTTTGCTTTTGAATGCTCAATAAAATTAATTAGTAGTATATTTCAGTATACTATATGTTGATCATAATATGTTATTCATAATATGTTGATCATAATATGTTGATAAATATTTAGTGAAATTAAAGATAATTGTAAAAGGAATTTTTGGGCAAATGGGTTCTAATATTACAAATCCATAGAATACTTTAAAAAATTATAAAATATTATTTTGAAATTAGAATTTGAGCTTAAAACCTAAAAAATTTAAATGTCACTCTAACAACAAATTGTGTTGCATGAAAATCAAAAAAAATTTTTTAGATAAATAATATCTTTATTCATGTTTTGAACGTAACTCCCTTAAAAAAATTAATATTTACAATGAAATAGAACTGAATATATAGTTCGATATTGATTCTTTGAAAGAGTAACCAAAATGAAAAAAAAAACTTGTACATAAATTCTAATTTTAAAGGTTTTGTTAAGGAAATATAAAAGATAATGAAAAGAAAAGGACGCTTAATGCTTATGATAAAAAAAGATAAGGATTTGAAAAAGCGTTTCATGAAGATTATTGTCTGTAAGTTTTTCCTTGATTTAGTGGTTTAAGGAATTTTGAACGAAGTGAAATTTGGTGCTGTCTTACAGCAATATGGGAAGTTTCTGCTAAAATTTTGTAAATTTTTTAGTTAGCAAAATCTGTTTGTCATAGAATTTTTTTGAAAAAATAAAATCGTACGAGCCATCTGGATTACAATATTTGAGTTGCAATATTTTAAAAACTAAACAAAAACTACCACTTTATTTCTAAAAATGTTAAGGTATTTTTCAACGGAAGTGTAAAGGAGTCAAGCAGATTTCATAAATGAATTATGAAGAAAAAATGTAGATTTTATGAAAGAAATTTTAAATTATTTCATAAATAATAATTTAAGAATTAATCTAATAAATTAATATCATTTTAAGTTTTATGTGATCATATTAACCTTTCGCTAAATTGCAAGATTAAAATAAATTTTTTAATTTTCTTGCGTAGAATTTTCAGGTTTCATAAAGGTTTTTAAACAAAAAAGAACTACCGAAGTTACGTTCAATTTAGTTCGTAAAATTCAGGATACTATCATAAATTATTAAGTTAAGCTAAGTTTAAAGTTAAAACTGTTACAGCTATTTAAAATGTTTGGCTGTAATAGTTTCTATTTAGATAAAATAGAAATAAATACAATAATAATTTAAATTAATTTCAGTTCCATTTTTACTTACTCATCTAATCCACTTTTAATCTTTTCATCTTATAAGTAAACTTAACATTTGAAATTTAAAGTACGATATAGCTACCTCAAATTGTTACAACTATATTTATTTTTTATAAAAATGTCATTAATATTTTCAGATTTTTTCAACCTTCAAGTAGTTATATGCAAATTTCCACTTCAAAGAAAATATTAATTATGACGCCATTTTCTAATTTCTTGGGGAATAAAATATTTCTTTGAAATGTAAATTTTTATCAAAAGTCAAATCTTGGATATTCATTTATTTGTTAAGTCTTTTGCATATTAAAAAGAAATTGATATTTTTTACATAATTTGTTTCTAATCATTTTTTTTCTGTTTTGATAGGAGAAACTAAAACTTACTCTTTATTTTATATCTATAAAATTAAATTATAAGTGTGCTTGGTTCCGCGTGACTTTAATAATTCCGGAAATGATTGTGTTGAGATCCAGATATTTAGTCAACGAGTGAAAGGATCAATTTTCGCACCAAAACCTACAGATTGCAAACTTATCTGTCTGGAAAAGATAAACAAAACAGGTTTGTATTTTTAACCCATCACATTATGCCTTTCCAAATTATGCTTTCTTGCCTTTTAAATTGTTGACAAATTTTCATTTCAATTATTTAAATGTATATTTATTCGGGAGAAAGCGCGGGGGTCATTTCATTACCTCTTGCAATCTGTCAGTTTTTATTCTTACAAAATTAATCAACTGCTCATCCTTATTTCAATTCTTACTATTAGTTCACACAAGGCCGGGATAGCCTGGTCGGTAGGGCGCTGGGCCCATATCCAAGAGGTCGTGGGTTCGATCCTCGCCGGCCGAAGACTCCCCGTGTAGTAAATGGTGATTGATGCACGTTAAATCTGTCGAGTCTCAAAGTCCTCCATGTTCCCATAACAAATCAATACCTCTGGGGGGTACTGATTCAGGAGTTTCCTTGTCTTCTGGATTAGTTCAAAATTACAAGGCTACGGAGTTGAACATTAGTAGTCGTAAACCCATGAAATTGGGTCGGCTGTTCAACGACGGTTATGAAATAAAATATTAGTTCACACAGGCCGGGACAGCCTGGTTGGTAGGGGACTGGGCTTATATCCGAGAGGTTGTGGGTTCGATCCCCGTCGGCCGAAGACTATCCGTGTAGTAAATGGTGATTGACGCCCGTCAAATCTGTCGAGACACAAAGTCCTCCCGGTTACCATAACAAATCAATACCTCTGGGGTACTGATAAAGGAGTTTCCTTGACTTCTGGATTGGTTCAAAATTACAAGGCTACGGAGTTGAACATTAGTAGTCGTAAACCCAAAATTGTGTCTGCTGTTCAACGACGAATATATAAATATATATATATTAGTTCACACTCTCCCTATATATATTTATATATCTTGTTCAAATTCTCAATAGTTTATAAAATAAACTTTTTCCTCCACTCAAGCTCAAATACATGTTTTTAAACTTGTATGGGATTGCAGTTGATGTTAATACAGTTTTTTCAAACATTAACTCATTAATTAAATTTAATTCATAAATTATTTACATTAATTGTAGTTATTTAATAAAAAAATAACTAAAATAAACATTTTATTTGTTGATCTAAGTAGGAATTGAATTTTATATTACTTGTTTATTAGTAGCTGAGTTCTTCATTCATTCTGAGTTCGTCATTCATTTTGAGTTCTTTATTATTTTTCATTTCTCAATGCACGTTTTATTAGTTATTGATGGTCATAGTAATGATACCACGTGTCCTTCCGTTCGGTCGTCAGTTTATTTCTCTCTGCGGAAGAGTTTAGCGCATTATTTTTTGCTACCGAATAAAGTGACTTATACTTGTTTACTAAAATCATTAAAGTTTCGTCTCAATCCAAGAACTGCTTTTCTATCTATAAAGAATCTCCTAACTGTGCATAGAAACTTACGACGTAAACTAACTTGTTATGAAAATTCAATTTTTGATGATTCACTTAATAGTGATCAACGCCGGAAAACGTGAAGTTAATCAGAATTTGAATATTCTGTAATTTCCAATGATGAACAGTATCTTCAATTTAAAAACTTCTTTACTTGAGAAAAGGAAAGTTTTGCTTGAGAAATCCAGAACTACTGGAACTAGCATTTTGGGCACAACTTTTTTTGCAAGGAATATATGATACCTGTGTGTAATTATTGTCTCCAAGAAATTTAAATATATAAAAATTACCATAAAATTATTACCTGTAAATAATATTTAATATAAATTACCTGTTTGCCATAAAATAAAAATTCGAAGTAAACTGGTAATCAATTATGTACTAATTATTAGAGAAGTAAATATTATCACACATTTTTAAACTTTAACTCAAAAAGAATGATAAAAAACTTTAAATATTTATGCAATATTAAGTGAAAGTCTAAGACTCAAAAGCCTTATACTTTTGATAAAAACTATAACGTTTTTTAGCGGCATATGAATAAATTAAATGTGGGAACAGTTCGTGACCCCCGCGTGCCTTAGCGTTCGTTCATGACGCACGCGTCCTCTGGGGGTCCTCTCATTCCCTAGCTCCATATTTATTTCATAAATAACAAAATTGTTGCTTTTCGAGGTTGTGGATTAAGTGGATGGGAAGTTTCAGAAAGAATCAAGAGTTCTAAAACAATAGTTTATGATTTTCTCAAAAGTCCTAGAAAGTATAGACAGAAAAAAGAATTGGGAAAGGAACTGGGCAGAACAGAAATGAATGATTGTAAGCAGAACTTGCCAGAGAAGAAAAACTGCAAACAAAGTTAGACAAATTTCAAATTTACCACACATCTCAAGAACTGCTCAAAATAATTTAAATAAGCAGAATTAACATCCTCATCTTTTTCATGAAAAATCAATCTCTCGCTCACCTCTTACAAATCATCATGAGAGAAGAAGTGTTGATTTGTTGATACTGCCAAAAATGACATTTCTCTATGTTAAAAATGGGCTGATGTAATTTTTTCTGAGTATAAAATGTTCAACCTAACGGTTTTAGTTATATTTGGTATGATCTGCGAAAGACCAAAAAATGTTACCCAAACGACAATATGGAGGTGGCTTAGTAATGGTTTGGGGTACTTTTGAGTAAAAAAGAACCACTCAAGAATCAAATAGGATATTTGGTATGATCTGAGAAAGACCAAAAAGTGTTACCCAAACGACAATATGGAGGTGGCTTAGTANCTCGGCGACGGGGAACTCGAAGTGAATGAACTCGGCGAAATAGAAGTCCCAGAAGAAATTCGCTCTGGTGGTAACCTCATCGATGAAATCTTCGGACCATGCCTCAGAAGTGGGAACTACGAAGCAATGAAGAATCGCGCTATTCTTGCACCATTGAACGACGATAAGGACAAGATCAACGAGCAGATTATCGCTATGCTTCCAGGCGAAGAGAAGACATACACAAGTTTCGACTCGGTAAAGGATCAACATGAAGGGGGAATTCAATTCGCGCCTGAATTCCTGAACTCGATCAACATCGCCGACTTGCCTCCACACAATCTGAAGCTCAAGAAGAACGCCATCATCATGCTTCTCCGAAACTTGGACGTCTCTGAAGGAATGTGCAACGGAACACGATTGATTGTCACCGAACTTTGCAACAACATCATCAAGGCTAAGATCATCACCGGTGAACACGCAGGCCGACAAGTACACCTTCCAAGGATCACGCTCGACTCCAGCAAATCACAGCTTGGCGCAACTATGCAACGGCACCAATTCCCAGTTACTCCAGCATTCGCCATTACGATACACAAGTCACAAGGCCAAACATTCGAATTCGTCGGCGTGCTTCTCCTCACGACGGTCTTCGTGCACGGAATGCTCTACGTCGCGTTTTCAAGAGTCAAGCGTCAAAGTGCGTTGAAGGTCCTGCTGCCTCCTGAGAATCCAACCCACACCCGAAACGTCGTATGGAAGGAAGTCCTGAACAAGAGAAACTCACCAGCCGCACCTGCCTCTCCGACAAGAAACTACCTGGACAACATGGAAGACTTCGCAATCGATGATTAATGTTTATTATGTTTATGCTGTTATAGGTTTATAATATGTTTCTTATGTATGTATATATGTTTGGTTTTTCTAAATAAATTTGTCAAAAATATTGAACTTCAACACACTTCAATCTTTACACTGCTCACTTTGTACCATTTCTTTAATTGTATAATTTTTTGTTGTCAATTACATTTTATTTCCTATGACTTTTCAAACTTTACCTTTGTATAGAATAGTTCCCTTTCCACAAACTCTAACTTTGTTTAGATAGTTTACAATGGTGCACTTTAACCGGTTATCTTTTCACCAATGATTTCACAAATTTTCTTATGGCATGTATTGTTTTGATAAATCACAATTGAAAATTTAAATCTTCGAGTTAGCTTCGATACCTGTTTTCTCCGAGCGGAGCTCGGTCACCCGCTGGTGGTTTTTAACGTTTTATTTCTGTTTATGGTGATGAAGTTTTAGTATATGTTCGTATGTTTTAAATCAGTTTCAATTCTTCAAAAATAAAATAGATAGAAAATTTTGATCGCATTATTGCTGTCATGGATTACCTATTTATTAAAAGTTTCAGTTTTTTAGAGAAACTTTCACAAATCTCAACACGTTTCAAGTCATAAGTTTTACAAATTGCTTCAATTGATGTTTGTCCTCTTATCATCCAATGGACGGGATTTTTATTCTATTTCAGCAAATATACTCTTCTCATAAATTTCTATTCCTTCTTCAGTTTTTATATTTATAATGAAATCAAGTTAAAAAGATGGATTATGAAAAAGTAAATTATAAAAAGAACATAAAAATAAGTTAAGTTAATATAAAACATTAAAACTACTGGGAAAATAAAAAAGCTCCCTCTGGATAACAATCAACTTCAAGAAGTTCTAAAATTATTGTTTGCATTTTCATTTGACTTTGTTTTGCTGATTTTTTGTTAATGATTAGGTTGGGCTGATTTTTTTAAAAGTCTTACCACTCTCTATTTATAATAATGCTGTTGAAGTTGATCTAATCGAAAAAGTGGACGGATATAAGAAACCTAAGACAACATCGATTTAATAAAAATGCCCCTAGATCATCACCTTCATGGTCCATTTTCCCAATGCATGAAAAAAAAATGGAGGACCAGAAAATGAATCGTGTAAAAGGTCCTCTAACAGTGAGGAAGGAAGTTTTATTTCTATCTTTATGAAGTCTTAATAAATGCTAATATGTTCTGAATCAGTTTTATTTCTTTAATTATAATTAATATGTTCAAAGTCATGTATTTAAAACAATTACGAAATTATGTTATGGCTGTAGGAATCAAATTATATTTCGTTATGAAATATAATCTAGCTAGTGTAAGGTGTACTAAAAGTATTGCACTAAAAGTACTACAAGAGTAAGGTTAGAATGTTACTACACATTTGCAAAAATAGTTGGTTACATAACTGAAAATTGGAAAAAATTAATGAGGTTGATGACGTTTAGTTAAAGCCTTTAACTAATGGACGAAATGTTAGTTAAGTTTTCATTAAAAAAATAACAGCTAAGCATTTTATTGTAAATAAAAATTTTTTTTAAAGTTTTTCCATTTTATAACGTTTTTTTTTTCATAGTCTTCTTTTAGGGCAAGAGTAGCTGCAGTAATATTTTATTTAGGTTGGACTAGAGTTGCACATTGGGCTTTTGGCGACTGGTCAAGGAAACCCCCCTGAAGATGATCATGGATGACGGCTTGGCTGAAGACATGACAACACAATTTTGATCCTCTGTGGAGGAGATGGCTCTCCATCTTTGGTACCCCACTGATCTGTGCCTGAAGTCGCGCAATTTACGAAGACCGATACCGCACACTCTCTGTCCCTACGTAAGTTGATCAAAGTGGTCTCCCAAACGAACTTTGAAGAAAGACAGTGATGATTGACTCCGGTGTTTTATTGGGAACTGTATATTTACGATCAAGACATTACGAGACTTTAGGGCTCGATAACGAATACATGAATACATGATACATGAATTTATAACATATTTTCGTTTTTGGTAGATAAATTTTATCAACTTAAATAAAAACAATTTTGTTTATTGAAAAACAGTTTTATCAAATAGAATTGCATGTATTATTTCTGCTTAAAAGGGATTGACATCTTATCTTTCGAATATAATATAATATATCTTCTTGTTGTACGTTTAAAAATTCATAATATTTTTAGATGATAATACATTGCTATCATCTAAACATTTTACATCCGATAAACAAAACTAATTATTGAAAAGAAATAGCCTTGCTGATTCATATTTTATAGCAAACTCTTTTTCAAAGAGTCTTTCTTTTTACGGTTTGAAAAAGTTAATGATATTTAAATGATATTCATGTAATATTCCCCTCATTTGAAAGGAAGCTTCTATCGATTCAAATACAGCTTTCATTTTTATCTTAACTCTCAAAAGTAGTCTTAAAGGAAAAAAAGTAGAATTGAATCTATTATTTGAGTTTTCAAGAAAAAAATCTGTTATCCCGAATGCTTTCAAGTCAGTCAATATGGATTGAAATTGAGCTTCCAAACGCGTAAAGAATGCGATAAAATATATTAAAATTCCTTTCTTAGTTTATTGGAAAGATATGTTAAAAATGAAAGAAAATAAACTAAGAATTGAATTTAAATAAGTCTTTGAATGATGTTTGGAGAGTAATTATAGAGCAAAAGAGTAAATATTTAACTCTTAGAAAAATGTAAAAATTCGCGAAAAATAATACAGTGAATTCGCGATAACTCGAATCTGATAGGACTGACGAAAAACTTCGACATATCGGAAGTTCGACTCACCGTTAGTTTCGGTTTTGGACTTTCAAAATATTGTCGGATTATTTAATTAATAATGCTTATTTATTAATTACAAATCTTCTAAATGCTTACAATATTTAAGATCATTTTTCTGACAAGCCATTTACGATAAGACTGTTTGAAGCACTTTATGATACCCTGGTCCATCGGCTGCAACTTTGCTGTTGTGTTTGGCGGGAGAAACTGCAAGTTTACTGCTTTCAAATTAGGTAGATCACTATGCGCTGTGCATTTATCCATAAAGAGTATCACTTTTCTTTTTTTAGCGAAGAATTTCCGATCCAATTTTCTTACATAGTCTTCAAATAAAACTGATGTCACTTTTGTTAGACTTGTAATCCAAAGGATACGTTTTTACATTCTTGAAACATCAGGGACTTCGGTATTTTCCGATAGCAACTAAGGGCAATTTCTCTGTCCCACACGCATTTCTTCCAACTAGGACAGTCAAATGTTCCTTGCTCATTTTACCCCCTGAGCAGTTTTCATCCTTAAACATCATAGTCTTATTTGGAAGACATTTAAAAAATAAACCGATTTCATCAATATTGAAAACATCACTTTAACTGCATCCTTGAAGTAAATTTGGAAACGTTTCATTTAACCACTGTTCACATACTTTCAGAGGGACAGCTTTAGCTTCTCCGTGAAGAATGCGAAAAACATTGTGTGTGTTGCAAAGGAAGGGACAAGATATCAGCTCCTAGGTTTTTTTTCTTGCTTCAAAAGATCAACAAAAAAAATCGAGTTAAAGGGAGTAAAATTCGAGTAATCGAGAATAATTAACATGAAATTGAAGATAAAAGGGTCGGGACCTCATAAAAAAATCGAGTTATAATAATATTCGAGTTATCGTACTTCGAGTTATAGCGAATTGACTGTATTATTTTCTTACACCTTAACCCTTCTTTGCATGATGATAGAAATTTCTATCATAACATTTAGTTAACAAGAAATTGTACTCGAAACAGGTTTACTGTAAATTGGTTGTTCCTGGCAACGTTGCGTAATAACGAACGCTGCTGTCAAAAAAAAAAATCAAATTCTTATAGCTTGTTTGAAATTGTCATTCCGCTGTTTGTTGGGTTGGAAGAAACGTACGATTTCTTGAATACTTTTTTACAACTAATCTGATATTTTTTTGCTAATAAAAGCGATAATAAGTGAAAAAATGGTTTGATTTTAGTATTTCTGCTATTTTCCTTTCAATTTATATCGAATACTTCGAATAATCTTCCCAAAACCATGTGACAACGTTGTTGTCAAAAAAAAAAAAAAATCAAATTCTTATAGCTTGTTTGAAATTGTCATTCCGCTGTTTGTTGTGGTTGGAAGAAACGTACGATTTCTTGAATACTTTTTTATAACTAATCTGATATTTTTTTTGCTAATAAAAGCGATAAAAAGTGAAAAAAAGGTTTAATTTTAGTATTTCTGTTATTTTCTTTTCAATTTATATCCAATACTTCGAATAATCTTCCCAAAACCATGTGACAGAAACTCACATCGCTGTACAATTGTTTCACTTTTATTGTGCGGCGAAAATATTTTTCACAATACGTTTATTTTATGTTATTTTTGTATAGAAATTTAGAAGAGAGGGACATAGATTACTTGGATCAGTAAGAAGACGGTTGGTTATCAGAATATGACCTTGATGATCAAAATTCTGACAAGTACCGCGATGCAAACGAAATTATAAGAGTGTTGGAAAAGGAGAATAACAATTGTTTTTTTTTTTAATTATCACCAGTAATAAAAGTGATATAAAGATATATCGTATTTCTTATTTATTTTATACTGAGTTTATGGAGACACTAGATGTTCAAAATGAGAAAAATCCTTCAAATATCCATTATTTAGTTTTTGAGACGTCAAAAAAAGTATAATTTACTTAATAGGTATCAAACCATGTGTTCTCCCCGAGTGATAAGGTTATGAATTTGCAAACGTCCATACATCAATATGTAGTTTTAGTAGACAATGTTGCTTTTACTCGTAATGCACTTTTCAGCATTCTCACAGCTTCAAAAAGTTTCTTGTGCACCAGTGTTTGTTTCATTGTCATTAAAATGTTTTAGATACTCTTCAATGTATCTTGTTCCATTCTAAATGCATTTGATCAACTCGATATCTTAATTCAGTTTTTTAATAAGTGAAACCACAATCGAAGCGTGTTTATTG